CAAACCCAAAAAAACCATTTTTTACAAGTGTTTCGTGTGATTGAAAGTTTGATTCAACAGAAAGTGAATCGAAACTTAAAAACCGAATGTTTTAGGATGAGCTCCTTTCGTCGAACAAATCTCTTTAATAATATGTGGACATAATGTTAATGTGGATCTTTTTTTGTTTGGGGTTAATTTGATTTCAGATAGTGAACCATGGGTTACCACATGACCTAATGGACAAGGTCGAGAAGATGACAAAGGAACATTACAAGAACTCAATGGAACGAAAGTTCAATGACATGCTCAAGGCCAAAGGTTTGGATAAACTTGAGACAGAAGTTGAAGATGTTGATTGGGAAAGCACTTTCTACCTTCGTCATCTTCCTCAGTCCAACCTCAATGACATTCCTGATATGTCTGATGAATATAGGTACCGTACATACAGCAAAACAAATAAAACAAATTTTTTATTTTTTGAAAACCAGGAAGTGATTCGAACTTTTAAATCATATGTTATATTCGTGATTTTTATTTTCAGGACGGCCATGAAAGACTTTGGGAAGAGATTGGAAAATCTTGCAGAGGATTTGTTGGATCTATTGTGTGAGAATCTAGGTTTAGAGAAAGGGTATTTGAAGAAAGTGTTTCATGGAACAAAAGGTCCAACCTTTGGGACAAAAGTGAGCAATTATCCATCTTGTCCTAAACCAGAGATGATCAAAGGTCTTAGGGCCCACACTGATGCAGGAGGCCTCATCTTGTTGTTTCAAGATGACAAGGTCAGTGGTCTCCAGCTTCTTAAAGATGGTGATTGGGTCGATGTTCCTCCACTCAACCACTCCATTGTCATCAATCTTGGTGATCAACTTGAGGTATGTTTTATGTTCACAGTTTGGGTGAATTTGGGTTTTGGTTTAGTCCCGGTTTGATGAAATTTGGAGAAATGGTTGGTAAATGTCTTAACCGAAACCGAACAAAGTTCAACCGGAAAAAAAACATTTGAATTCTCAAATGGTTTTGTTTTGTTTGGCAGTAGTTAAGGTTTAACCGGAAGTATCTGCTTAATTGAGTGTAGGTGATAACCAACGGCAAGTACAAGAGTGTGAGTCACCGTGTGGTGACACAAAAGGAAGGAAACAGAATGTCGATTGCGTCCTTCTACAATCCGGGAAGCGATGCTGAGATCTCTCCAGCTTCATCGCTTGTCGGGAAAGAATCCGAGTACCCGAGTTTTGTCTTTGATGACTACATGAAGCTCTACGCTGGGGTCAAGTTTCAGCCTAAGGAGCCACGGTTCGAGGCGATGAAGAATGCTTCTGCAGCTACAGATTTGAAACCAACTGCAGCCGTTGAGACTTTCTAAACCGGATTTGAGATAAAAGTGAAGCCATAAAAAGAAAGAAGATGGTTATTTGTGTTGTTGTGTGTGTTTCTGTCAATAAGTTAAGACTGGGATTAGTGTTGATATAATTAAGAATCTGGTGATTAATTGTCGGTTAATGGTGTGTTTAATGTGTGGGGGTGTTTATGTTTATGAAGATAATAATTAATAAAGTTCCTAATGTCTTTCTTATCAAATCATATAAGCTCTGTTTCAGAACTTAATAAGCTAATTAACACGAATGAAGCTAAAGAAACTTTTATCATTAGTAAAAAGAAACAAGTTCAGAAGAATCATTAAAGCAACAAACAACACAAAACAAAGATTAAAAGGTTAAAACTTTAACAGAGTTTACAAATTTATCAAACAAATGCCCTGGAAAATTGATCACCTTTGAGGTGAACTTGAAACAACCATTCAAGTGTGAATCATCAAATCAAGCAAGAACACAATTTGATCTACGAATGGTTCCAGCATTCCACACCTTCAAGATTCGTTTTTCCAGTCACACAACCATTCATTATGCGAGAATCGGTTTCTGTTTCAGAGCTTTTGAGATCGAATTTCTAGTTCGGATTAAAGGGGTTTCAAGGTACAGGTACCTTTTTCTCATCTCCTTCAGTAGCTGCAGTTTCGTTGGAACAATGGTTCTTGACAACCATTGCAATGTCTGCTTCAGAAGCACCTGCAAGTTTGAATCTTTCAACAGCTGAATCCAGGTTCTTCTTCCAACCGTCAATCCTGATTTTGCATTCAACTTGCGATCTTTCGAACAGCATGTTTCCCCAAAACAGATGGATCTGTGATCTCATTGCAGTCGCTTGTTCTGCTGCTTCCTCAGCTGTGATCGTATCGGAAACCTCTTCTTGCCCATCTCCTCCTTGCTTCTTTCTTCTCTTCGAAACTTCCTCTTTCTTGTTCGAATTCGGATTTTTAAGATCATTCATCCTCTGCTCTTCAAGCTTCTCCCACATCTCTGTAGCGTCTTTCATCTTCTCCTCTGCACTGTCAAAGAGTTTTAGGGTTTCCGCTGGATCCCAACCCGAGATATCAATCTTCTGAGCTAGCAAGTAAGACCAGTGCAGCTTCGCCATTTCAAATTGCTGCTGTCCTAACGCAAGCAAACCCTCGTAAAAATCAGGTTTGACCGAGAGGGCGTGTTCATACTTCTCCTTTGCTAATGTGTATCTCTCTTTCACCCACTCGTAAGCAGTTTGAAGCTGTTCTGCAACCACTTCTTTTCCAGCAGTTTCATCCAAAGGAATTCGTTTTCTAGCAGCACACATGTGAACATTTCCCCAGTTGAAGAAAGCTAAAGCAGCCACTTCTTGGAACTTCGCAGAAGCTTTATCGAATAGCGGTTGAGCTTTCTCGCTTGTGACTGTTTCTTCAAGAGCCTCTGAACAAAGCTCCATACCCAACTCATGCAAGTCAATATGAGCATCAGGGTCAATTCCGACATGACTACGGAAAAGATGAGCGAAATCAAACAACCAATCATCCATCTCCAATTCCTTGGTTTCGGGATCTTCAGAAGAACTCGCTTTCTCCTTTTCGACTTCCTTACCCAGCTTCTCATTGTTGTTCTCTGCTTCCGATACTGATTCGCTCGGAGATGATATGA